TATATATATATATTAATAATAATATAATGCATAATTCTTATGAATTTAAAATATTATTACAATATAATTCAAAAATGTTTATAAAATATGAAAAATTCCAAATAATTTAAAATAAATTTTATTAAACTTTAAAATTATTTGAATTAATATTTAATTGAATATTTAAATATCAAATATTTCAAAACTCAAAATTATTTAAAATATATTGAGTTTTTTATTTTGAAAATAAATTTAAATTTAAATATTTGAAATTCAAATTTTTGATGTATTATATAAAATTTTTTTATTTAATTTGAATTTTCTTTGATTTTGAAAATTTCTAGTAATTAAATATATTAAAAATAATTAAATAAATTAATTTTTAAAAATCAAAGTAAAAGAAATGATAAATATTATCTGATTATTTAAAACTTTAAAATAAAATTTTAAATTTTTTTAAAAATAATTAAAGCAATATTTAATTAAAAATTAATTATATAATTACAAAAAGAAATAATTAAAACTATTTAATATTTGATATAAAATATTAAATATTAATATTTTTTGTTTAACTTGAATTTTATTTCAAATATTTGAAATTTATATAATAATTAATATTTTTAAAATAATTTAACCTTATTAAAATTTAAAATAAATTCAAAAATAAATTAATAATAATATTAAAATAATTTTGAAAATTTTCTAAAAATTGAAATATGATTAATTTTTGTTAATATTTTAATAACAAAAATTATTAATATAAATAATATAAAATTTTATTTTAAATAAATCAATAAAGTTTTAGAATATTTTGTAAAAATCATAGAAAAAATTTTCAATTCATATTATTTAAATTTTGATAATCTTTTAATTATTTTTAATTAAAAATATAAAAATTTTAATAATTAAAATAGCTTAAAATATATAAGATATTTTAAATTAATAATAATTTTAAATTAAAAGATTTAAAAAATTGAGGATTTTGATATATAATACTTAATTTTTGGATTTATAATTTATTTTCAATGGTTTAATGAAGTTTTGGTTAATTAATAGGTTTAAAATTAATTTAAATGAATAAAAACATGATCGACGACATCGGCGCCAGCAGTAGGACATGTATCAGGCCAAGATTGGCCACTCCGAATTGCAGCCAATCATTGACAATGATTGATTACAATAGCGGGAGCAAGACGCGATTTCACTAAACCACGTCAGCGTGGTGCGGAGCCATCAGATCGTGTGCGGTTAAGGATGAATTGATACAATCGTGTTGAATGGGTTAATTTGGACCGTTGATCACACTATCAATGGTCCATAAAATTTACTCTTAACTCACACTACCAATGAACACTATATTGCATTTTTTGTCTCATTCTCTCGAATCAGTTAATCAATTTTAATAAAATTTTAAACATACATTGCATTGATGAACAAAAATAATGGGGAAGCAAAAGATCAATTTGAAACACACTATAAGAAAAGCTATATAATCCTAAGTGTAGTGACCAAGGGTTAAGGGTTTTGAGAAATTTTACCATTAGATATTCGGGATTTTGGTCATGAAGGCTTGAGGGGTTCCTGGAGAGCTTCTAAAGGCAAGATTTTGGTTGGAAAGGCATGAGGGGTTTCTAGAGAGCTCAAACGAAATGAGCTTTTGCCTAGAGGACTTGAGGGTAGTGAGAGAATGCCAAAGATAGAATGAGCTTCATTTTTGGTCTTTTTCCCTATTAAGTTTTCCTAAGGGATCTTGAATGGTTGAGATGAGTTTGAAAGTATCCCCTGATGCTCTCTGCATGGCCTGGAGTGGTTAGGAGCAGAGGGATCAAAGGAAATAAGGATATGTGAGGTATAAAGGGTATTTTTTTCCTTTGTACATGTGGGATGATTAGAGACTTAAACCAAGGATTAGGAGGGCTTTTAGAAGTCTCTAGAGGTTATTCAAATGGTTGGATGGGCCTGGGCTAGGCTGGATAAATTGGGTTAAAGAGTTTGACCACTCGTAACCCAATTAAATGCTTATTGAATAGTCAACAGCCAAGTCGACTGTTGAGGTAGCATGCAAAGAAACCTAGGGAGCCGCTAGGTAGATTAGGGAGGTTCAAAAGTGCTGAAATGAATATATGATTGAATTCATATATAGAGTTTAACCAAAAGGGATGAGTTCACTTGGACAAACTCCATAGGATTTGACTTTTATTAGACTTGAATACATTTAAACTTCGAAATGGAGTAAGATCAAGTTCTTGATAGGATTTGATTGGAGAAGGCATTGAGTTGACCCAAGGTATGAGGGTTTGACTAAGTCTAGTGTGTTGACTTGGTCAGCCCATCAAGACTTGACCCACCATTAGTTGAGAGACTTTGACATCAAACATTAAGATAGGATTAGAAGCTTAATGGGATTTGAATGGATTGACATAATTGATAACATCAATTTAACCAAATTGGGTCAAGTTTCACTGGACTTAGGCTCAGTTCACCAAGTCAACTGTTGACTAGGTCAAGGGTCTAGTCAAGTCTAAATCCATAGGGGAGATGTTCAAAGAAAATTTCTGTGGATTTGAGGCTTATTTGGAGCTTGATTGGATGTAAAATGGCTTAATGGGCTATTGGGTCAACCTAGGTTGACCTAGGGCTTGGGTTTGGGCTCAACAGATTTGGTATGATATTTTGAGTTTCGTAGAGGTGGTCCTATTGGGTCAACCTAGGTTGACTTGGTCAACCAGGTTGACCCAGGGCTTGGGTTTGGGCTCAACAGATTTGCTTTGATATTTTGAGTTTCGTAGAGGTGGTCCTAAGAGTTTGAAAGATCATTCAGTTAAATTGATTATTTGAAAAGCTTAAGGGGTTGTTTGGTCAACTTCGGTTGACTTGGTTAACTAGGTTTACATAAAGCATGGGTTTGAATCCAACCCATTTGAAATGATATTTTGAATTAAATGGAAGTGGTCCCATGCAATGGTGAGGTCATTTGGATTGTAATAATCATTCAAGCCCCTAAGGAGAATTTGGTCAAAATAAGTTAACTTGGTTAACCAAGCTTGACAAGGGTCTTGGTTTGAGTCCAATACACTCCTGATTATATTTAGGATGCATTAGAGGAGGCTTCAAGGTTTGATTTGACTTGTCCATGTTGAAGTTTAAAAGAAACTTCAATTTTGCCCTTAAGGAGCATTTTGGTTATTTTTACCCTTGGTCAACTAGGGGTCAAAGTGGGTCCACCAAAATGCAGATTAATGCTTGACATATCATAATCAAGGGTTTGGACATGATCAAAGGCTTTGGAGGAGGCTCTAAGGTCAAATTACAAATTGTAGAGGGTCCAATGGCATAAGTCATAAATATTTAAAGATTTTTTAGTCTCTGGAATTATATTTAGTTTATGGGACTAGAGGTCTCAGAATAAACTCAAATTTGGAGTGTTGACCCTATAGACATACCTGATAAATATGCAATTGATATATTATGATTTGGGGGTCATTTGACTAGGGTTTGAAATGTTTAAAAAATCACTAAAAAAAGCTTTCAAGACAAGCCTTTTATCCTTGAGTTTGGTATGGATTTTTGGATTTGAACACAGTTTTGGATTTGAATGATTGAATTTGAATTATCCAAGTCAATTATCATTAGTTGAATGATAGTTATTGATTCGGTAAGGTTGAAGCTAGAACGAAGACTGATTTGAAGGATGGATTGAGGTTTGAACTGGAGTTTGGATTTTGAATTGGTTTGGAGTCTGGATTTTGATTGAACTGAAGCTCTAGATGATTAACACTTGGATGAATATCAACCATCATATCAATAATTGAAGGCCTGAAAAGGCCCATATGACCTCATACAAAAATGAAATCAACAACCTTCCATCTCATCTTTTATGATTATACCACGAACCTTATTTAAAGGAAAATACGTCAGCTCACTTTCTTGTACATAGCAATATTTATCCAACCAATCTAAATCATAAAAACTCTAGCTAGCTTTTTTTTCAAACATACACATATCCCATACCATGTATTTATCATATTTTATAATAACATATATCATATATAATGTACATATCTAGTATACTTAAAATAATATGTAGATCATTTTAGTACAATATGTTATAACAGATAAGTCTATCAAATGCCATGTCATGTCAATATAATCATGTCAGAATGCTTGTCATATCAAGATCAGATCAGATGCATCAGTTATGCATGTTATGCCAAATGTACAATATCAAATGCATGTCATGTCAGCTAGAATAAATCAAATGTTATAATCCTAAATCATTTCTTATATGCCTTTATCCTTATAAATTTTTAGGTAAAATAGCATACATGCAAAGCTGCCTATTAAAATCTCAAGATGATAGTATCAATTTGTTCAATAAAGATGTCTACAACATATCTAAAATTATACAGTGAAAATATGCTTAATCAAAAATTATTACATTTTAAGCAAATTTGAGAGAGAAACCTTCAGAAAATAAAATCACTAATATATATATATATATATAAGATTAAGATCACCTGCTATGAGATAAATGACTTTCACAATTTGCTTAACGAACAAAACCAACCTAAACCAAACTCTCTCTCTCTTCTCCTTGACCAAAAGAGATCAAATGGGGGTTGGGGCCCCACTTAATCAAAGCCACAATACAAAGAGGGCAGAGCTGCCATGCCAACTGACACAGCACCGCAAAACTTCAGTTTTATTAGGTCATTAACAGATCATCATCTAATGAAAATGAGGATCATTACAATGGGAGAGACCAATGATCACTACTAATAAAGTGAAACCAAAGCAGTATTGCCGGCAGCCAAAACAATTAAAAATATATTGCCCAAATCTCTCAATTAAAAGGCGAGCCACCCAACTAAAGATTAAAAAAGGATAGATAAATAGAACCAACCACGAAGTTCATCATGTCTCTCATTTTGTAAAGCACAATCATGCAGAAATTTCCAGAAAAGGGATTAAGAGCTTAGCAGCTTAACTTAAACAGAACCATAAACCTTTTAACACCAATCAACTAGAAGGGTAGAGATATTATATAATCTCCAAATGAGATCCTCAAGCCTCAAGCATTACAATAATGAATCATAGAAAACGACTAATAGAAGAAAGTTAAGTATTTCAACAGCTGCACTACAAATTATACAAGGGTCTGTCATGATGAAAGAGGAACCTTCTGTTTTGCCAATATATTTGAGTCTACACTTAGGTTTCATTTGGGACGGTTTTCTTTTTGCTTCTTAAAATAGGCTTTTTAGTACAAAAGTTAAAAATTTTGTACTCAAAAGCAGTTTTAAGAAGCAGTAAGAAAGCAGTCCCAAACAAAGCTTTAAACTATACAACTAAAACTGCACCGGTTGGGAACTTATTAAAAACGCAACTAGCAATAGCCTGAAGGGGCCTTCATTAAAAGGCAAGGAAAATTCACCACCATGTTGTATCAGTGCACATGGCTGTAGTTAATGTTGGGTATCCAATTTCTGTAATCCTAGGCATCTTGGTAGCCTCCACCTCCTTTCTTGAAGCCAATTGGCGCAGTACGAACCACCATTTCAGTGCCGCGATCAATTTAACCCACCGGCTAGATCCCATACGAGCACTCGTATCCATATGTGACATCGCAGGAACATGACCAAAGCCTAATGAGCTATCGGTTGTCCCACACGGCGCTTTGCCATGGTCCCACATTGCAGGCATCAAAGAGGGGGTCATCAGTTCAAAATCAGAATTGTATCCACCATATTGCTGCTCACTAGTCATGATAGCGCTTGCTTGACCTTCATGGAAATGGTCAAAAAATTCTCTTTCAATGAAACTGTAACTGTTGAAGGAGCCAAATCTTTGTGTGCCAAAAATGTCTTTCAGTTGAGTGAGATCTTCTAAAAGTCCACTGCATGGGACATGAGGCTGAGATTGTTGAAGCATACTAAGCTGATGCACATTTAGCTCGTCTGTTAAAAAACTCATGTTAGTAGTCATAGTAGTGCGAGAAATTCAAAGGGGGTGAAGATTCATCAACTAAGCTGTTAATTCCAACTACCTTGAACTGTCCCAGGGATATCTGGAATCTGAGGTTCAGAACAGCTTGAGGCAACAGGGTCTAGGGCAATATCTATTGGAGGCATGGGCTTTGTAAACGTATGAACCGGTGCTATGTCATTTTTATTCCTGTAAGCAAGTTCTTTCAACTTGTTCACTATAATCTGCATACAACGCAGATGAGTTAGCGCATAGGGAAAAATACAAATACAAGAAAGGAGCTGGTTATATATCAATCAATTTGAAAGAAGTATGAAGAGTTGTTTGGTTCTCAGGCATTGTAATATTATGACATGTTTAAAAAAATGTCAGATGTTTGATTAACTGACATGCTTGAATGTAAAAATATATATTTATATCCTATTTTGATAACATCTAGATGTCAGAGAATCCTTTTACTCTTCGGTGATCGCATTTTGCTCCTTGAGGACCTAAAGTTTGCATAGAGCCTGAAATTGGCCATCACAGCGTGAAGAAATGGGGAAGAACAAAAATATTTTGAGCTGTAAGACTGATATCAGTTCATACCTTCTGTGATGCAGACAGTTCATTCAAGGAATGATATATGTGGTCAATGTTTGCACCAATAAGCTGATATATAGAGTTGAAGATGAGAATAACTCCTTGTCCTCTGCAATATGAATACAGCTTATCATCTGGAACACACTCTCTTGCATGCTCAACAGTAGCTTCCCATATCTTGTTGGACATTCCGTTACCCAGCAGCTACAGATATTGAAATAAATGCAAGTCATTGTAGATGATATTTTTAATTTGAAGTGTTTCTAAGAAAAAATTGAGTGCATTTCTTACACTGCGGAGCTTTGATTGGTCCATAACTAAATTCCTTAAGAAGTCTTGAACAGTATATATCTCCTTGTCAGCAAGCCTCTTGTGGAAAGCACCATCTTTTCCGATCTTTTCCAAACGCCACACTTCATCGTTCAGTGATGGAGGATGGTGTTTTTTGTATGCTAGATTATGAAAATGTGTCAGAATACAGATAATCAACTGGAGGAGGATAAACAAAAATTATAGGTCAAGTGAATCTCAGAAGGAACAAACAGTGGGTGTAATACATAAGTCATTTAAAGAAATATACTGAATTTATAACTAAAAAAAAATCCTAAATTGAACTGGTTATTGATTGATAAATAAATACCGTGGAAATATTAAATACCCAGCTCAAAGAATATTGTCGATCTTCGCCCTAGAACATTCAACCAAAATTTTTTTGCTAGCCAACAGCTACTAGCATTGCTAACATGAACCCTCCCTATAAATCATTAAGCTATTTAAATTGTGGCCAGGAGAGGAAAACTTGATTTCTGTTTATTTATATATTTCATCTACGAGTTGAAAGCCCTCTATATACTTAGGGTTCACAAAGAAAACCTGCCTATGGGATATAGGACTAAAAAATCAATTGCTTATCCAAATTAAAAATATGTGATTTGAACAATAATTTTAAATTTAAATTTGGACATTTCCAACATTCCCCACTCAAGCACATTGGTATTTTGTTCCATAATCCACTTTCATCATACCAGGGAGTCTAGTATGCCAATGATGATAATAGAAATAATGAGTTTTTATGCTAAGCTGCCACCAAACTCACATAGCACATCATTTTAAATATCTCATGTTGAATAACAAATATTAATTACTATTAGCTCATGCATTTCAAATCCCCTCATAATCACATAGCTTAGAACATGCATTATTTAAGTCATGCACTCATTATTACTACAAAGAACCAATTTCGAGGTAACTATCTAGGCTACAAATCATACAAAAAAAGTGTATTTATTACTTCCTTTCCATAACCTCTCATATCAATTAGCTTTATTTTCTAGACATGCTTGCATCAATTAAGACCCGCGGATAACTTGATAAAATAGCAAGACCAAGTTTATGCTTCATGGCACACTATAAGTACATGTGAAGAACCGTTAAAGATGTGTGAGGGCTCGCAAAGTGATAGAAGAGGGATTCATTCATCAACCTTCCCAACTTAGATTGACAATAGTACATGTGGAATTAGTTGCATGCCATGGTGGAGTAACCACATAAGCTCAATTTGACCATAACATTATACAAATCTAGTCCAAATGTCACATAGGCACAAGGTTTATGAACTAGTGTATATAACTCATGTCGGCTTACTTAAAAGCCTCATCCTTATAAAGGCGGCACATTTCACCTCATCATGCTTGTTACGGAAACAAAAAGAAAATTATCTGTAGAAGAGGGTCTATATCATTCACCTAAGAGAAATTAAATAATGTGCAAATAATTATACCCAAAAAAGTCTAAAAACAAATGTAATGATGTAACAAAGAATTATCAAGTCCACAAGAGATAATCAGGTATTCAAATCCTACACAAGCCTAAACTCCACATACGAGCCTATAACAAATATCTCTAATCAAGCAACATTCTCTTACTTGGAATATACATTAAGATGATCTCCTTCTATACAATTACATAACAAACGTAGCGGTATCTAAAATCTACGTGTGTAGTTCTACGCTGTAACTTAAGATTCTTTTCAGTTGCTACAATTTTCTAATTGTATGGCAAAATTTCTTACTCTACTTGAGATATCAAATAAGAAATATCCTAAGCCAAATGGTCTCCTATGCAGCTACAACACAAGTACATTCTTAGTTTCCATGGCATGCAAAAAAAAGCATGATTGCTTTTTACTACCCCAAGAGATAGCACTATCTCTAAAGGACAATTTGGTTTGCTAAAAAAAGAATGCATAATAAAAAAAATGCAATGCAAAATTTAAGAGTTATTTGAATGAGTACAAAATAAATATAAGTAATTGCAATTTTTTTGTTTGACTTAAAGTAAAATGAATGCTCTATAAAGCCGAATGTTGGTGAAGGTCGATGGTTGGAGACGGTAGGTGACGACTGATGGCCGACAGTGGCTAGGGGTGGTGGTGGCAAGTACCAGCCAAAAGCAACAACGGGCATCAACAATGGAAAATAGTTTACAGTGTATTTTAAAATTGATCAAATTTAATTATTTTCAAATACATTAAAATTGAAATAGATGGTGAATTTATAATACTTCTAAATTTTACTCTGCATTTTTTCTTACTCAAGACAAATACTAATATTTTCAAAACATTTGTATATGAAATACTTTACACCCCTTTTACTTCGAAGGAAACAACCCCCAAGTAAAAAAAAATATATCTAAAAGTGAATTTGGGCTCATCTTTATCTCTCATCTAATCAACATCAATACAACTAAGTAATTTTAAATTTCCAAGAACAAAACTAGATCGGTTGTACTATTGCAGTTTCAAAACTTGCTAATGATTTGGGATAGATTATTTTGATAGTAAGTAACAAATCCTACAATAAATATTATATCATATTGAGTATTTATTATAAAATCATATCAAAACTACTTTCTTTCTACGAGAAATCTTGAATATATTTTCCAAATTCAGTTGGATTACATCAAGGATCAGCCTTAAGCCCATATTTTTTTGCTTTAGTCATGGATGTTCTCACTAGACATTTGCAAGAGGTTATACCTTGGTGTATGCTTAGTGCTGATGATATTCTTTTTGTTGATAAGACTAGAGAGGGAGTAGAAGGACCAACTTGAATTATGAAGGTCAACCTTAGATTCTAAAGGCTTTCGTTTGAGTAGATCTAAAACTGAATATATGGAGCGTAATTTTAGTAATAACGGATCTAGTGGGGAGATTGTGACTTTGGGCGATCAAGTCATTAATAAGAGCACACGATTTAGATATCTTCGGTCTATTGTTCAAAGTGATGGTGAAATAGATGGTGATATTATTAGTACAATTCAAGTTGGATGGTTGAAGTGGATGAATGTATCGAGTATGTTATGTGATAGAAAAGTCCCTCTCAAACTTAAGAGAAAATTCTATAAGATAGTAGTGAGACCTGCAATACTTTATGGTGCATAATGTTGACCATTAAAAGAGAAGCATAATATTAAGTTAAGTGTTGCAGAGATGAGGATGCTCAGGTGGATGAGTGGCTTTACTCTTAAAGATAGATACGAAATGAGCATACACGTGAAAAGGTTGGAGTAGCTCCAGCAGAAGATAAGATTAGATAGTCTCCTTAGATGGTTTGTTCAAATAAAACAGCGGCCTTCCAATGACCCGGTTAGGAAAGTAGATGTATTAAATTTGACTTATATTAAAAAAGTAGAGGTATAGCTAAAAAGACTTGGTTAGAAAATATTAGAAATGACCTTTCTTTATTAGATTTAGATGAAAATTTAACCCTTAACATGACACAATGGAGAAAAAGGTTTCATGTAGCCGACCCCACAGTGGTATAAAGGCTCGTTGTTGTTGTTATTGTTGAGAAATCTTGAACATGTAACCTCTATCTTCATAATCAACAACACTTAAGAAGCACTTTTTCTTTATTATTTATGAGTTTATATTTTCATTTTCTAAATCACTCAAGAACCCTTTTTATACAAGACTCTTGGGCCAAACCCGTGAGCCTTTTGAATTAATCTCAAGTAATTTTTATGTCAATCATAACCCATATATGCCATTTCAAATGTAGAGGTTAGTTATTTTTTTGTGGCAATAATCATGTCCATATCATTTTCAATAATTAGGAAGCCAGCAACAATATAGCTATAAGATCACACAACTTTGATTGGAATGTTTGACATAAACACAAGAATCCACTTCCATCATTCAAAATCTGCATATGTAATGATCAACTAAAATCTATGATTCCATTGTTTGAATGATTGCTTCAACCAATAGATTGAACGCAATGTTGTTTTTACATCTATATAAAAAGGCACTAAATATAAACGTGCAGCTAATACTAGGATAAAGTGAATTGAAAAGATTATCAAAACCATGGAGAATGTGCCTTCATAATTAATACCGTCTTGTTGGGCATAATCTTTCTTCAATAGGTGTGCTCTATACTTGTTGAAAGTGTCATCATCCTTATGCCTAATTCTCAAATCCTCCTTCTAATTGGCTTACATCATATCGAAAGATTAAATAGGCCTAAAATTTAATATTTTTTTAATATATTTCATTTCATCATGCTTGATTGCAATCTTTCTTCGTAGCCTATGAACAAAAAGCTTCATCATAAGAAGCTGAGTCATCGTGGCCTAAAGAAGCATATTTAATTCCTTCATCCCTAATCTAAAATCGACAATGTGAAATTCTTCTACATTTTTTTCATACATTAACAATTTAAGTCATTAAATGATAAAATACTCCCATTAAGAAAGTGTTCCCTTCACCACCATTGGCAATTTTATGATGGTTATTTATATTCCCACTATCAATAAAGGATAGACTCATTTAAGATGCCAATTTAATTCCTCCATATTTCAAAAATCATCCTAAAGAAATTACACATCTTTTAATTCCAAATCAATCATGCCCCCAATATGGTGCAATCCATGAATTACATACTTTTTGAATTTCTAGGATACTCTATAAAGACATGCTTAATTGTTTGAGTCTAGTTTTTCATATTTATCAAAGACACTGAAGATATTGAACAAATACCAAAGGCCTTAAGATATCTAAATTAGGCTTGGTCCCACTCCATCATAACTCAGAGAGAATCTAAGCCATTGACTTTGGGAGATAATGATTATATATGTTGGTAATTGTAGCAAGTGTGTCCCCTGACTATTTTATTTGATAATTTGCTAGACCATTATCAACCGAACCATCGAAGGGTATGGTTATTCTTTCTATCGCTCTTTTTTCTTGTAAGGTATAAGAAACTGTCAATTGATCATTTATATCATTTTCCTCACATATTTGGCCGAGCTAATAAAAAAAATAGTCTCCAACCGTAGTTTGTATGCAGCAATTCTAATCTCTTATTTGTTTGACTTTCTAGTGGAACTAAAAAGAGCTTTAAACAACCTAATGTTTCAAGCTTGCGAGAAAGCAAATACACAACCATAT